CTTCTGCTTCTCCTACTACTACTACTACTACTACTACTGCTACTACTACTACTACTACTACTACTACTGGTACTACGGCGACGACGACGACCACGACTCCTGCTGCCACTGCTGCTACTGTTGCTGCTGCTACTGCTGTGCTACTGCTGTGCTACTTACTGCTGCTACTGCCACTCCTGCCGCTGATGCCACTACTACTGCTACTACTGCTACTGCTGCTGCTGCTGCTACTACTACTACTACTGCTGCTACGATTTCGACTTCGACTTCGACTACTACGACGACTACTACTACTTCTACTCTACTACTGCTACTACTACTGTTACTCCTGCTTGTAATGCTACTGCTGCCACGACGACTTCTGTTGCTAGCTCTCTTGCTATTAATCATTACACTTACCTTCGCTATTCTTATTACCATCGAAAACTACCTCACAACACACTCCACGGATACATTGGGCGCGCGGAGTGTTTCAATGTTCTCACTCTGGCAGCCCACCTTAATCTGCAACCTTGAGCATTGGACTTCTGAAGCGTGTTTCGCTGCAGGACTCAGAAGGCTACAACTGCTCACAGCTTCTTGGCTTTCGGCAGATCCGTTTAAATCGTCAGGTTTTTGGAAAAAAGCCGAAGAACATGAGGCACGATTATCCGTAGCAAGATCTGCAGAGATTGCAGGCTGCATTGATTCTCATTCAGTGTTCCAGGGCTCAGCTTTTGCAGATGATGAGTTTGAAGGTTTGCCCCAGTGCGACGGACCGGACTTGCTCTGGGACAGCTCGCCTTCCTTGCAAGATGGCCCCGTAGAGTCAAGCGGCAAGAACCTGTTCAGCCGTCGACTCCTAGACTATCTGTGACAAGCAAGCTCATGGAGCCGGACTCGACCCAAGCTCCTCGGTGCCATGCGTGGAGAGTCTGCTGCAAGGTATCAGTCTGGTAGGTGGTGCACTTCCGATGGCAACCTGGGCACTGGCTGGCAGGCGAGGTGGAACGTGCCGTGGCTTCAGGCTCAGTGTTCGTGATCCAATTAGTCGTGGTTTGGGGTGAGGTTCCTGTCCAGTGTGTGCCTGAGGTTTGGTCCTGGTAGGGTCTTATTGAAGCTTACGTGCCTGAACTCCGGGGTCCCACAGCAGAAAATGTCTTGCCTGATGAAACCGACACTCGGAGCCATCCCAATGCTTTATCAGGCGTTCTCGGTTGTGTGTGCCCTGAATCGACGTTGAAGGCCCTTCAGAGGGTTCTCAGAGGCTTTGGTCAATACTTTAGGATTTAGGCAGGGTTCGTTTGCACCGCAGGCCTCCAGTTGTCGACATAAGTGCCCAGAGATATCTTTCTTTGTAACTCGGTGAGGACCTGGGACAAGCATGTTGAATGGACCTAAGCCCATGGTCCATTGTGATGGCACCTGAACCCCAGTTACTCAAAAATCGAGGTGATGGAGACCTACTGGCACGATGGGCGCCGACCTCAGGAGGGTTTTCCTTCTTGTGACCGTGGAGGGTTTAGGGCTCAGAAAAGGTTTAGGGTTTCGGATCATTTATCGCGACAGGCGATTCCAATCCTCAGAGATATGCTTAGCGGGTGTGTTTCTTCGAGTGTTATACCTGTCAAACGGTGCGAGGCTTGGGTTACTCTCACTAACATTAGATGCTATTGCGGGCCTGTGCGCACGAGAAGCTAATCAAAACTTGAGAGTTTTCAGAACTCGTCAGTGTCCTCAGCCCATTGAACAAATCTAGCCATGCAAGACTCACATCCTGCCCAGCCACGTCCACAAAGGCAGAAGCAGCAACCTCTAGAAGCCCGGCACCGTACATTAGTTGAATAGCACCGTGGTTAAATATCGTGACGGTCACCTACTATGTAGGCAACTGAGCGCCCAGGAAACTAAAGCACCTCAGGTACACAGCTATCAGTGCTTGCTGCGCTTGTGGTGGTGGGCAGGTCAGTCACATCAATGGTGGCAGGGCCCGGATCAGTTGGGCTTCTAGGGCGAGATTCTAGGGGCTCGCGCAGGAGAGTTTTATGACTTCTGACGCACTCATCAGGCCTTGCCGGTGAGAGCTGTAATCTATCGCTAGGCTGTTTGTAACATACTGTGCTGGCTCGTACATAGCATCTTTGACGATGGCAAGTCTCTGACAATGGGCTATGGGACGGATAGGTGACCAGCTTTCACGAAGCTTGAACCCCCCGGCCCGACGAGAAGTTGAGATGGTTCTTTAGGAAGCTTGGCTGCCATTGAGACCGGCTCAGAGCCCCGCTCCTGCTGAATTGAAGCGCAGGGAGCTTTAGTCCCCAGTGGCTCTAGTGTTTGTGCATGCCTGCTATGGTTCTCGAATTCTGCAACTGAGGCCTTTGGCAGGTGATGCGAGGGCCCTGCACCATCGAGGAGGAGTGCATTCTGAGCCCGAACTATCCGGGCAACTATTCGGACAACGAGACGCTGAGCTGCTTTAGGTCCAGCAGAATCGCACCGAACTCGCACTTGCAATTTCCTCAACCAGCAGTGTGGAGGGAGGCAATACAGGCGGGATTGGTTAAACGCTGATACCTGCAACTATCATTCCGGGACATGCGTGCCTAGGTATCCGAAGCAGGCTCTCAGATCAACAACTTCCTCTGATCTCATAGTGACAGGGCCTGCAAGCCCTTCAGCAGTCATGCCTCGGATGGAGCTTCGGTGGGCACCAAATCACCATACTAGGCCCTCAAACGAGATGATTCGCCACTGAGGCGTTGCACCATCCTGGTGAATAGCACACTGGCGAAGCCCCTGAAGACGATCCACTGGGATGTGGACGCTGTGCCAACACATGTTACAAGAGAGCGCTCAGCAGAATGCATCCAAAAGGCAGGTTGAAGTCTCGAGCCACCAATAAAGCCCCACACCTGCTGTAGCTCCAAGCAAGCTATGGCAGGAACCTGTTTAGCGTCAGGGAACCGGTCTGGGGCTGAGGGTTTGAGGTTAACTTTCAAGGGCTCAGGGTTTGTCTAGAGTGTGCTTTTGGGTATTTTTGGTGTATCAGGGGGCTTTGAGGGTCTTGAAGGAAGGAAGATCTAGGCATGTAGGAATCTATTGTCAGGGGTCATCTAGATGTAGCGGCTTGGTTCCACTGCCCTGATTTCGCTGGGGGCGGACGTCTTTTGCAGCTCGCCTTGCAGTAGACTTATCTTGACGTAGTTTGGCGAAGCCAGTGATCTTTTGCAGCTCGGCTTGCAGTAGACTTATCTTGACCTAGTTTGGCGCAGCCAGAGTACTCAGACAAAGCGTAAGTGCAACGCACGTCCATTCTGGGATTTACTCTCTAGTTGCTAATTCGGCTTCTGGAAAGGTCCTCAAACAGGAGACGTGTATCCGTTGAAAGGAACCCCCCCCCCCTGCTCCCATCTCGGCGTGTCTTCGGTTTAGGGCCTCGCTCCTCGAAACCTGGAAGCCCAAAGGCCCGCAACCAGCCTTGTAGCCCTAAAAGTTTAGGAGTACTGGTTCGACTACCTCCACATCAGCGGCACGCTCCTCGCTGCATCTTCGCAGCCTCAGGGCCAGAGCTTCAGCCTCAAAACGGCAAGACTCGCTCACCGCAAACCCCGAAAGCCCGTGTGTTATTTGGAGCCACTGCCTTGCAGTCTTTGCAGGTAGGAGACCCAACGGACATTGAACCGTTCAGTCCAAGACTCGAAACCCGAAGCAGTTTCGGGCTTGGGGTATTCGGGGGCTTTAAGGAAAGGGTCCAGGGCTGCGGCTATTTAATGGCGAAATTTCAGCCCGAACCCCAAGTTGCAGCTCCACCTGTGAACTAATGATGTTGCGAACAGCTTCGATTATGCATCACTGCAATCGTAGTAACAGTTTACTTACCGAGTCACTACAGGAGCCAGCGTTGTCCAGGCATAGTAGCAATAATCAGAAGCACCAGTTGACAAGGAAGCTGCCCAGCAATAGCAGTTCCTTGACAAGGCCCCAGGCTAGTCAGCATCCTCGAGTGGTAGATCTTCTGATTGTTGTGGGTCATGATGTACGCGCAGCCTAAATCATATTACTAAATGTACTAGTTACTAGACCGTCACTTCGCTTAAACCCCTTCTGCGTGATCCCTTCTCTCCAAACCCTTTGCCTCTTTTAGTTGAACCCATAACCCTTGTCCAAGAACTCTCACAACACCCCGCTTGTATCTAAACCCTGAAGCACCAGCTGAGGTTCAGGGTTCAGGTTGCATGCTGTTGTGGGGCTCGGGTTCTCAGACGTCAGAAGCAGAGCTTGTTGAACTTTAGCGGTGGGGCTTGTGGTTTCAACAACAAGAGAGGATGACTGCCGTGCATGGACAATTCAACTCACGGCCAACTCTGCATCTGAGTTTCTACAGTGGACGGAACGATCCTCAAGGCGTCGTCCCAGCTGGCTCGATCCAGTGGAGTGCGGACGAGGCTTGTGGGGTTTCGGCTTCGGGCGCATGCATGCTATAGCTGCTAGGCTTTCGGTAGTTGGCTAGATGATCTCTCTGCTGCCATGCGCCGAGGCTTTGGCATGCCTCCCAACTGACACCCTGGCAGCTGCTGATGCACATCAACCTGTAAACTACCACCGCCGCAATCGGGCATCGGCATCCTTTGGCCATGCCCTAGACCCTGAGTCCGCACTCCCCTACAAATCGAGCCTGAGTCCTGGTCTTGCTGGATGCATTTGCTCCGGGACACTGGAGCCTGAAGCTCAAGCCCAGAACCCCGCGTCTGGTAAGGATTAAGCCTTCGGATGACGAAAGCTACAGCTGCAGAAGCCCGAAGGATACCCATGGCACTGGCTGGAAGCTCTGCGCGAGCGATGAGGCCCTGACGACCACAACGGCCGGTGTGGCCGAAATCACCGAGGCGGAAGATTTGGATTAAGCGGGTTATGGTTCAGAGTTGAGATGTTCAGGCCCTCGCTTGGTTTGAGTGTTCTTTCTCAGGCCGTTGCCTCTCTTGGCCTTTCGCATACTCTACTGGGAACCGGTATTGAGAACAGGCCCTTTATAGAGAGCTCTGCAGTATTTGCATGACTTGGCTTTGGGTATCGAAGCTTAGGGAAGTCAATTTGGATCCTAGGCCTCTGCTGCTAGCGAAACCATTGCTGCAAATTGCCGGCCATGGCATCACTGAAATTACGTCAAATTGCTTTGAGTCGTAGTAAAAGCCGGAAGCGGTAGCAGTGGCAGCAGACAAGGGAGTGGCTCGGAGTGGGAATAATGGTATTTGGTGACGGGTGTTCCGGCTTGGGCTGGGTTTGGCAGAGCACCCGACTCTCACATGTACACGCAGCATCGTGATTGGTTCCCGCGTAGTCCATGTGCAGGCCTGATGTGAGTTAGAATTGTGTGTGGGCCCACAATTGCATAGGCCTGCTTGTTCCGATATTTTTGTTCTCCCGCCGCTCGCCCGGGGTTGAGGGACTGCTGCCTATATCTGGGCATAGATGGGCATGTCCGGCCAATGCTTAACAAAAATTGAGCAAGTTCCTGCCTGCTGCCTAAGAACGTGTGAGGTGGTAGTCGTGGTCGTGGTGGCGTTACTGCTGGTAGTAGTAGTACTAGTAGTAGT